GGAAATTGGAGGGATATCAATAGCAGCAAAGGTGAAGTAAACATTGACCTAGAGGTAGTATGCTGATGTTAAAAGTTTAACAGGAACCCAAGAACAGAACATAAAGTGCAGGCTATGACCACTTGACCTGGGATTTTGGACCACTTAGTAGAGGTATAGGATCTAGCAAGATCTAGAGTGCTTAGAATAATGATGTGGGTTCTAGCAGGATCTAAAGTGCTTAGATTAAAGTGACTTCATGCTGAAGTAGTTCTAAAATGCACAATAATGCAAAGATTTTGTCTTCTATAAATAAATTCACTTCCGACTACTCAGTCAAGACAGACAGTTCGCACCAAAGAACCTGGGTCCCTGGGCCCGTGGAGCAAACAAGCCGGCACCCAGGGCCGGGTCTCCGGTTCTTCTTGGCCGTCTTGGGTGAAGATGATCTCAGCCGAACAAGTGGTAATCTACGTGATGAAGACAATGTATGCAGTTATTGGTAGATTAACAGCACAAATTTGCAGATTATCCCTTATATGGTGGATATTATTGGGGAATCCTTTGTTGGGGAATCCTTTGTTGGGAGGTATTACCTGGCCCTGATTGATTCTCGTCTAGAATTCCCCTGCTTTTTTAATATTCCTCTATTTACTTTCCTGATTTTAGAATTTTTTAAAATACTGAAATGTATTTATTTATTTATTTCATGCACTTTTACCCCACCCTTCTTCCCCGAAGGGGGACTGAGGGTGGCCTCACACAAGCACCATACGAATTCAAAGTAGAATTAAAGCACTAAAAACCATTAAAACATTAAAAATCATTAAAACACATTATACAATTATACAATTAAAACACATGATACAGTAGCCAGATTTTGTTCATTTTCATGATTAACTGGTCAGCGAATGCAATCAGCAATGCTTTGAAGGTACAAGGTCATTAAATGATAATCAAGGAGGCCAATTGCAACATTCCCCCTTGCCTCAAGGAGACAAGAGTTCTTTCTCCCACCCTGGACATTCCACAGATATATAAACACCACTTGCCTAGTTTCCAACGGACCTCACAACCTCTAAGGATGCCTGCCATAGATGTGGGAGAAACATCAGGAGAGAATGCTTCTGAACATGGCCATAGAGCCTGAAATATTCACAGCAACCCAGTGATTCCAGCCACAAAAGCCTTTGACAATATCTATACTGTATGTTTATGCCTGATCAATCTGAAACTGAGAGTGCTGTCCTTGGAAAGCAACAGAAAGCCACAAGAGGCTTCAGAAACCCAGAGTGCATCGAT